GTCCACTTCTGGACTCTCAGGAAGATATGCTGATTTAAGGTCCGTCATCAACTAAAAGACAAATAAATGATATGATTTTTTTTTTTAGCCTAGTTAAAGCCTAGTTAAAGCCTAGGGTACAGATAAGCCCCCCAGCCATTATAGAGTAAAAGTGCGTAATAGCACTAACTCAAGAAGAAGAAGAAGAAGACACAAAGAAAAATTATATAAATAATTTAGAAAATTAGTTTATATAATGACACATTAGACGTTTTCTTTTGTAAGCATGTCACAAAAGAACTAATAAAATAAATATTACTTTTGATGGCAACTCTGGACAAAATGGAGATTTTGTTAGGCGTATTTGTGCAATAAATGTGTAAAAAATTTGAAGTTGGATTTTTAAAAATGAATAATAATTCCTTCAAATTATTGATAAGAATATTTATTACAATATTATATTTTTACATATTATGAATAAAATACAATTTTTCGTGCCTTTTAACAATAAAATACATTGACGACACGAAATACGAAATACAATCTATTTGAAATATTGAAATACTGAAAGTCAACCTGAGAGTCCATACGAAAGCTCGAAATGTTATGCTCCCAAAATCTATAAATACTACAATACGACAAATATAGTAAACTAAAATATAGTTTTAAATTTTTCAGCAAATAGCTACAATAATTGTTCACAGATTTATTTATTTAATCTCTGAACCACCTTACAAAACTTACTATACTTACGGATGCAAACTGTAGATTCTGTGAAGAGAATGAGGAGTCGGCCACACATTTACTGTTAGAATACCCTGCGCAAATGTACATACGAAATAGGCCCCTAGAAATATATATTCTTACGAAAGAGGCAATAAAACTCTGTAAAATAGGTTCTATACTACTTTTTATTGATGCAAAAGGTCTTAAAGACCTACACTAAGCCCAGGAGGGGGCACAATAGACCCGACGGTCGCAGTGTCACATCCACTAACAATAATAATAATAATAGTAATAATAATAATAATAGTTATTTAATTATTGTATTGATTTGTTTTAATTGAGAAGAACCGTAGTCAGTCATATTATATTCTTTATCATCGGTTAGTGCAGGCATTTACAAAGACGTGAACTTTCAACTGACGTCTATAGCCTTAATGGAAGTCAAACTGACAACAATTGTGCAAAGATTTTGTTATTTAGTTATTATATTAGTTTATTTCACTTAAGTAGGGCCGAATTCGACAATATAATATATTTTGTCACCGATCATTGCAGGTATGAACAGAGACTAAGACTTTCAACTGACGTCTACGGCTGTAAGCAGTCATTGCCTTAAAGGCATGCATGTACAGATACTTGGATTTCCCACTGACTTTCATGGTTTTCATGAAAGTCCGATATAGTTTTCAACTTCTTATCTATTTTACTGATGCACTGCACTGCTAAGAAGCAGGGGAATAATTCTTGAAAAACCCTTTTTTAAGTTATCGAAGAACTGTTGTAAATTGATTTGGGAAGTTTAACAAAATTCTTAAAGAAAATAAACGTCTATAAAAATATTTTCCATCGCTGCTTTAAGTGAACAAGAGAGTGTATATACTAAAATAAAAGGCCCTAGGTACAAACAAATCAATAGCTGGTCTATGTGGAGTTTTTCACAGTCTCAACTTTAGACTTAACCAACCTGAATTAATATACCAACTTTATCAAAAGATATCAAAATTAATTACTAACGAATTTAGTTATAATATTGATTTCTTTAACATCATTAGAGTCGAAGTCAACAATATAATTTTCTTGGTAACCGGTCATTGCTTACAAGGCAATGCTTATACTTCAAACTGACGATATTTGTGGCATATAGTAAAACACCACAAATATACCAGATGATCTAAAAATCTTTTTTCTGACGTACAAAAACTACTTCAAATTTCAACGTTTTTCATAATGTATTTAACGGTGAAAGGACCAGGTGACCAACGATTCGGGGGCTCTCGGTACTACCAACTGGAAACAGCAAGCAACTAACCGGCCTGGCTGGCAGAGGGAACTCAACTCAGCCAAGGACGACTCACGTCTGTAATGGCCAACTAAATACGAATTTTGTCCTCACTTTTGGCCCTCAAGTTCTTTATACGACCAAAATATTTTTTTCTATATTATCCTTCCGAGGTTGCCGTACAAGTAATTTTTACTGGGTACTAGATTCAGAGTTTGTGTTGATTGGCAGAGCAATTCAATTTGCAATACGTAACCAGATGGTTTATCTTATCCTGACTTGGAAACACATTTTCTTCTTATACATTAGAAGACGATTTTTCACATTTGTGTTCTTAAAGCTCAATAAAAATGTTATCAGTTGCAATGGATAAGTTTTATTTTCAAGGCAATCGGTAAATATTATAGTAGTATTAATTGCATCAAACCCATTAATACATAAACATTATCAATGCCAGAAAGTCTGCATTAGCGACTTTGGTTCTCCATTTGTTGTCCACATAAGTGACACATAAATTTTTGACAGTTATAACCTTATTTAACCGAGTATAGTGTCAGACAATATAATCCTCAGTCAAACTATCTTATAGAAAAGAATATATAATTTTTTGTGGCTATAATTTTTTATTTATAAAAATTAATTAATTGACCTGAAACAGGTCAAATTAGTCACAGTTTTACTTTTATTTATTTTCGTCTGATAAATATTTAAATTATTTATTTTTATATATATTTGAAAGGATTTTATTGAGCGCGTTCAGCCATCCAAAAATGCCCACAAGTACGCAATAAGTGGATTTTAAAATTTTTATTGATGTCCAATTAATTGCAGTAGTGGCTTTAAATTGGTTATTTAATGGTCTTCGATGGATTGTTAATGGAAACAATAACCGATTAACTTTAATTGCATTTGAACGCATTAAATCGAGAACACATTTTTATATTAAAGTGAAACTCAATTTATAAATACAAATTTTATATATAAAATTTTTATATTTTAACCAGCAATACTACTTTACTTAAATAAAAATTCTTTTGTTTAAAATTTGTAATAAATAAAATAAAATATATAAATAAAATATATAAAGTTTGGACATTGGACAAAAAACAAATAATATATTGCTTTTCTTGTGTAGTTAAAGGATTTTAGAACTATCAAAAATATTATACTTCTTATATTTTTTTCCCTTGAACATTGTCAAGTATCCTTTCTATTTATTGGAGAGATAGGATCTAAGGTCATGGATACCTGTTAACAATACAAGCCTAAAACCTCTGTTATAAAATACAGCACATTGTTTCGTGAATAACATTCTATAAGAATTTCATCATATTTAAACCTCTAAGGAAGAAATGGACCACGGGTTCGATGTTAAAAGGCTTCGGCACCGCAGTATTCATGGATAACTCTAAAATTGAGTGCGATATTGGTGTAAGTAGAGACTGGAAAAGATCGAATATCAAAAAGTCTGTGCGCCTTCCCATCTATTGTATTCCAAATAGAAATGTTTACAATGAGACATTTCCAGAAATATGATAAGTATGAAATATAGAGAAATATGAGGAATACTACTTGCAGATCATATATTCAAACGACATATCCTTATTCTATCAAGTAATTCAAGCACTAGATTTAGCTATTACAAATTTTTGTCTGGGGGAACAAAGCAGAAGTAGCTTAATTACTCTAAAAGAACGGTATGAGTTTCTCTACTCTGGGTCTCGGAGCACCGAAATATAAAGGGAAACAAATAGTAGACTAACTGATGCGGATATGATTTGCTATAAAAGAAGCTATTGCAGAACATGTGTACTTACCACTAAACGCGGTTAAAAACTAATAAGGGTCAATATAAACCAAGTATACCCAAATAGTGGTTTTTAAATAGAAAAGTCTTGTAGCGAGCAAGTCTAACAGGTTACTTTGGCATTTATACAAATGAATGCAAACTTCAACGCTGATTAACAGAAATGACACGGTTATCTCCAGAGTAACAGCACTTGTTACTGGCTTCTGGTCTATGGATCAGCAATCTGCTAAAATGAGAATCTCTCATAACACTTACTATCACAGCTGCGGAGAACCGTAGGAAGACGTATTCTCTACAGAGTTTTGTTTATTGAAATTGTAAAGTATTTAGGAGTGATCCTAACCTGAAAGTTAAAGTTTAGGTTAAGCTTTGTAAACACTAACCTTTACTTTATCGAAAATAAATGCTGTACTACTTTTGGACCTTGGACAAATATCGTGCTCTGCATACAAACTACGAGGATACTTCCATCTAAAGACGAAATCTATACTCCGTGGACTGCGTTAGTAATATAGATCGTAATAAATATTAATTATTTTCATGCATACTTAACAGATTGTAATAAAATAAATGGATATCAAAAAAAAAATAAAAATTGGACAAATAAATAAAAGGTAAAAAAGAAGGATAGGAATATATAATATTATTACCATTAAAACAGTGCATACGCGATGAAAAACTCTGGGGCAAATTTTTAAGCTGACTAAGGCTAGATGAAGTTGTATTCTTATAAAAATATCAGATTACGAACAAGAATATAACATCTGACAGCTATATTTGTGAATAACTAATCTAGATCTAATCTAGATAGAATATATATGTAGTAATATTGCAACTCGAATTAATCATAATCTATAAAAATTGTATTGAGTATCACATTCTTAAAACGAGAGTCAAAGGAGTACATAACAAAAATCCCAATATAATCTTCTCTTATGATAGACATTATGAACTGTAAATAAGTGAAATTCTTTGCTACTGACCAGTTGTTCTTCTCTATTATTTTTAATGCTGCACTATAAAGT